CACTTTTATTGTAAAGCTACAATAGTTAAAGAAAACAAAATAATTATTATTCATACAATCGTATAATTTGGCAAAAATCGTTCAATGAATGAATGAATGAATTAATTAATTAATTAATTAACTATGCGTTCTGCAAAAAGTTTATTCTAAATATTTCTTTAGTACATTCAATGTTTAGAATATAACAAAACTAATAATTTGAGTGATAAAACAAGGTTATATTCTAAGTTTTGTGCTTTTTAAATATAAAATTATAACAAAGAAATTTGAAGAAAAACAAAGCAATTGCACGATTGCTACTTTTGATCAATTGAAGTATCAAATTATGTTCAAAAGATGTGTCTAACAGCAAGTGACATACGTTAAATCAAGTGTTTTTTTTATCTAAATGGCTAATGGAAAAAAGATCGTATACAAGTTGTTTACAAAACCGATTGATTTCATATTCAACATTGTGAATACACTCTTTGAATAGTTTTAACAAGCCAAACAGAAACATGATATTCCTCGTTCAATGAAATATTTTTTTGCTTATGCATTTATACATAATTTCTATAATCAGACCATGAGTTGTTAAATTTTCATTGGCTATCATGCAAGGTGTTTTTTTCAACCGAAGTGCGCTTTTAATGCTTGTCAAGCTAGACGGGAATTATTAATTTCATTTTTTAGGAAATTTTTTTTCTTTTTCCCGTTTTCAATATATCACTAAAAATTTATTTACAAATTTAAAATATTCCTTATTTTTTTTAAATGAACATTGTGCACAATTTCTATACCACTTGATTTAACAATGTAAATGGAGTAAAGAAGATACTTAACCGTAAGTTATACATATATATATTATTATAGTTTCAAGTTTCAAGTTTATTTCAAAGTACATTTGGACAATATGTCCATGCATACACAGTACATATAACAAAGCATACAATACAATCAAATGGTCAATGTCACACTTTATAAAACATATATCATTAAGTTACACAGTATTTTAGCAATTAGAAAACGTAAACTATAGATAGAATATACTATCAACATGTCTCAATTCATATACTTGTAAATAAATACTAAGGAAAGATACCATCCTATTAATAAGGAAGTAAATCACAAAACAAAACGAAAATAAGTGTATGTAAGATACAGTTATACAGCGTTTGGGACAAACTTTTGATTAACTATAAAGAATAGTGTTTCGAACATCGAAAGCTTTAAATATATACATTGATAAGTTTCTAATTTCCATTTCATTTTCTGAATTCATCAATGTAACAAATTTAGGTATATTTGGTCTTTTCCAAAAGTGTTCTTTTATATATTTTTTTCGTAATTCATTATATAGAGAACATTCTAAAATAAAGTGAAATTCATCTTCCAAAATAAAACAATTTTTACATTTCCTATCATCAAAAGGTATAGCAATAGGTTTATTCCACCTGCCGGTTTCAATCTCGAGTCTATGTGAAGAAACTCTTAGCCGGGACAGAGCAATTCTAAATTTTTCAATATTAATACAGTTTAAATACTTTTGAAATTTAAAATCTGCAAATATTACATATGTACGAGCTCTAGTTGAGTTATTTATTTCTGAAAACCAATTTTGGATAAAAACATCATTTACTCTTTGTTTTACTAAACTAATAAATACATCTACATTGCCTACGCCTTGAGATAACCATGCATCATTAAAACCAAGCGACTGTAATAAATCTTTAACACTTCTAACCCATGTTTTTTTGTTAGGTCTTACCTGTAACTCTCTGTACAATAAATCATAAACTATTTTAACATATTTTATATCTTCAAGCTGTATAATTTTAAGCCAATATTTTATTACACTTACAATTATTCTGCATTTCAAATTTGTTTTACCTAATTCACCATAAATAAAATTGTTTTGAGTTTGTAGTCTGACGCCTAACATTTTTTTACAAAAATTTAAATGCACTTTTTCTAATTTACAACAATCATATATACCGCTTATCTCTGAAGCATAATTCAAAATTGGTGAGATCAATTTATCAAAAAGGTCTAGTTTATGTTTCACAGTTATACATGGGAATTTAATCAAATCTAGTTGTAATTTATATAATGCCTTCAAAGCCTGACCAGATAATGTTTCAAAAGAAGTATTAAAAGATCCACCAGTTGTAAAGACTACTCCTAAATAAGTAAATTTTTCAGCAATTTCTAAATTTTCTCCTTTATATACGAATGAAATGTTATGTCTTAATCTGCCTTTTCTGAAAATCATTATTTTAGTTTTCTTAATATTTACAGTTAATCTCCACTTATCACAATAATTCTCCAATAACAATAAACCTTTATGTAAGCCTTCTTCTGTTTCAGATAGAATAACGATATCATCTGCATATAAAAGTAAAAACAATTTTAAGAAACCTAAATCAACTCCTTCAAATTTATTCATAATAAAATATTCTTCTATATCATTAAGATACATGGCGAACAAAAAAAGGTGATAAAGACTCTCCTTGGGGGGCGCCTAACACACATGAAAATTCTTCACTCAAAACATTTTGATATTTTATTCTGGATCTTACACTTTCGTACATTGATTTAATAACGTCTAACATTTTACCTCTTACACCATATTTAATTAATTTAAACCATATAATATCTCTAACTAAATAGTCAAAAAGCCTTAGTAAAATCAACAAAAACGCAGCATATAGTTTCTTATTGTTATTCAACATATATGTAATAAGGCCGTGCAAAACAAATATGTTATCTATGGTTCCCATTTGTTGTCTAAAACCGGACTGAGCTTCAATGTAGACGTGATATTTTTCTGCCCAAGTATTTAATCTATCATTTAAAATTTTTGTAAATAATTTACCAAAAGAACTTAGTAAAGTAATTCCTCTATAGTTACTTGGGTCATTAATGTCACCCTTTTTATGAAGCGGTACTATAAAGCCTTCGGTCCATTGTTCCGGAAAGTAACCTAAATCAAATATTTTATTAAAAAGATTATTTAGAGTATTAACAAAATGAGTTGAACAGGAACCGTATTTAAAAATTCATTTAATAAGAAGTCGGAACCTGCTGATTTCCCAGAGTTAAAGTTTTTACATACTTTTATTATTTCCAGGTTACTAAATGGTATATTTAACTCAGAAAACATAATATTTAATTCACCATCCAAGTACCTATTATTAAAATATAAAACATCTTCATCTGGTTGATAAAAAACTGAATCAGGATCATTTAAAGCTTTAAAATAACGTATAAAATCATTCGATGACAAACTACAATTATTACATGTATTTACAACAGTACCTCTGAGCATCTTCCAGTATGCTTTAGCATTCAAAATACGTTCATTTTCAAGTTTTTTAGACTGATCTTTGTCATAAAGGAATTTCTTTTTTCTAACAGTTTTTTTATATTCACCCCTGGCCTTTACCATAGCTACCCTGTTTTCATCACATGAATAATTTCTAAACATATTTAAACATCTATAATAATTCTGTTTCAAATTTTTACATTCTCCATCAAAATAAGGCACATTTACATTGGTAGGCTTTTTTGGGTTTGAATTTATTCTCTTTTTAAACAAAGGGGAGCAAATATCGTCTAAAACATTACAAAGTTTTTTCAAACTATCATTTATATGCGAACTATTTTCTGCAATTATAATATCTTGGGAAATAGTTTTAAGATTTTCTTCAACATTACGACTTGACAAAATATTAATATATTCTCCTTGCTTATTGTTGTCCCATTTATACATGAAAGGAACACCTTTTTCATTTTTATCATCTTCTACCGTATGAAAAGTATTAAAATTCATATTACATTTTAAGCTAAATTCAACAACACAATGATCAGATAAAATATTTGGAACTTTTACTTCAAACCTATGTATATACTTAAAAAAACTACTTTCACATAAAACATAATCAATTACACTACTACCTTGAATATTCACACATGTATATTTACCAATGTTTTTATCTACACCACATCTACCATTTAATACTCTTAATCCGGTAGATTTACAAAAATTTAATAATAACTTTCCGTACTCATTAATTTTTTTATCTTGACTCTTTCTTGGTAATATTTCATCAGTTACATAAAAATCAGGCAATAAATCTGCCAAATGAAACGACTCATCTTCAACATAATCTGCCTATTATACAAAAGTCATTAATGTTTCTGTATCAGTTACCTCATTTAGTATTTTTATTTGTACTGTATTTTCACCTATTTTGAACAGACATCATCGTTTCTTCATTGAATAAATAACAGATGTCATGTTTTTGTTTGGTTATCTTAACAAAAGTATGTCATCGGGATATTCAAATACATTTTCTCGGTCACTTTAGGTTTCAAAAGTTATATCAAACATATCACGGCACAAAATTTTCGGCTCAGTGCCAATGAACTGGAACAAGCGTTGATGTGATAGAAAAATTGTATCCATAACTATTTTATGGAGGATCTCGGTGTGTTCTTGCAGATGCCAAAGCCAAACAGTATATCAAATCCTGCGTGCGTAAAATCACTTTTGGATCAAAACTATCGATAAAATGTAATACTAAAAAGAAAATTAGCTTTTGAAGACAAATACTAAAAACACAACCGCGGCTTTGTTGCCGTACTATTAACCTATTTGTATTTGTTGTTAACTTGAGGGACGGGCCTTCTTTAGCAGCAAATATTTTACATGTAAATACATCAAAACAAAACAATTAAAGTGATGTAACGTCAATTACGACGCCCGCCGTGGCGTTGTTTGCCGCCTGCCGCGTTATTCTTTGGTATTAACTCCATATGGTCTATAGGTTCTTAATTTATTTTTCCACAAATTTTCTATTAATTTTCTGTATTTGTCATTCCCGTATAGCTTTTCCAGCCCCATTATTGACAAATCATTAACTGTGTGGTCGTTCGTGTAAAAATGCGCCGGTACTTGGTTCGTATTCTGGTTAAATTTAGAAGGTGTCTTTGGTACAACGTATCCCCTGTTTCTCCAACATAAGTATAACATTCGCAAAGCTTACAATAATCTGCATACACCACATTCGTATTTGCACGTATAAAGTTCGAAATCAGATCACGTGCAAATCTACGAATGTGGTGTATGCAGTTTATGTAGCAGACGAAATCAAACAAAATAATGCCGAACAAAACCTTACAAACCAATTACAGAAATCATAACGCATATAAACAATAAAGGCCTTTTATCCCTTCAATGGTCTGAAAGGTGCAAAGTTGAAACTGTTTAACATTTAATTTTATTTTATGAATTTCAGTGGATTACTGATTTATCCGTGAAAATTATATTTGATAATTTCACAGTGAAAATTATCAAATATAATTTCACACTTTTCAATGACGAAACTACTTTTTAAAGATTTTCTCCATGTGGTACCTCAATTTTATTTTTGTTGACTATTCCGACAATGTCAGACTGTTTAAAGAAAGGCAAAGCTGAAATTGATAAATAACTTATATGTCAAAAATGATAAAAAGAAGAAAACTTACAGTAAGTTACTTCTATTTATTCAAATAACCAATCACCAAATATCGTCTTTTCATTTTTACAGTCTGAAAAATACACTCCTTCTACATGCAAAACTGCTTTTGATGACATTTGGGAATATTTAAGTATCCTACGAGCATAAACTGCCATATGCTTTATGAAAATTTGAAAAGCAATGGCAGCTTTCAGTCGAAAAATATGTAAACAACCCAGCGTTCGTAAGGCTTCGAAGTTTTCCAATTTCCTATCCACTTTTTTGAATGTTTACATCTGTCAACACTTATTTATTGTCTGTTACAATCCTCAAATAAATTTTCTTTCTTTTAAAGCGTGTATGACTAAGTTATCCAAATGATATCCCTCTGAATCAAACACAATTATTTTCCTCCAGTGAAATACACAACTTTAAAAATGGCGACCGCTTACATTTAACAAAGCCAGGTCTAATATAAATTCGCAGTCAGTAACAGAAAGATGGATGGATGGTTGGACTTTTTCTCATACTAGAATTGTTTGTTTTTATTATTTAAACAAGCGATCAGACATATTTTTTTAATAAAATGTATACTATCACCACCATTTAACGTTGATTGTGGAACTTATTTTTCAGCCCATGACTTCTTGTATGTAATGAGATATTCGACTTTTTTGAGGCTCTCAATGGGGAAAACAGATTTTAATATTAACGTAAATATTGAGGAAATTTCGTTTTAACTTGTTTTTAAGCATAAAATAAAAAGAAAATTTGTTTGTTTGTTTTGTAAGATGTAATTTATTTCATTTCGTGAACTTAAAAAACAGTATTCTCACTCGTGGCTACGCCACTCGTGAGAATACTGTTTTTAAAGCCCACTCGATGAAATAAAATTTCATCTTACACACAAACAAACAAATATCCTCTATATAACTGATCAAGGTAAGGCGAAACTGAACTGTATTTATAAACGTATAATTTTAGTCCGATATCTATTCAATGGATAAGATGAGCTACTGTTTATACAAAGAGCTTTATGAACACATCTGCAGTTGTTTCATTTAACTCAAAATTTATCAATTACATATACAAATGTTGAGTTCTGCTTACGCCTGTGCAAGGATGGGGGCGTGATTCGTAGCTTGCAATTATGAACAGGCTCAATCAAACTGACATGAAACATTTTCAAGTTTGCGGTCTTGTGCATTCTAAACGATTCCGATCTTTTCTCTATTACCTTCTCACATGCTGTCAAAATTGAAACAGTCAAAGAGTGACTGATATATCGCATGTCAATATTTACAATAATATATTCATATGGAAAAAAAGTCAATGTGTTTAATGTAAATAAGGTCCAATAGCAATTACTATATACAATATTGTGCTGTAATTGTAAAGCCTTTATGCCAGGACTATTATGCCATTCTATCAAAACAGAAATAAACTATTGGCGGAACTAATTATAATAGATATTTAGAGGGGGTTAATATTAAATTTCATATAAAAAGATAATAATATCTTAAGATAAGGTATTACAATTTTCGTCTCTGCTACGTCAACTACGGACAAAGGACTATATATTAATTTACAATACATGTATTTATAAATAAATATTGACTATATTGATTTTGAAGACACGTTTATAATATATCTGAATATTTTGAATTTATTTATTTGTTTGTATGCCATCTTAATGGTTGATACCCAAGATACCATAGACGTGCTTCTTAATATCAGAATAACGTAATATAACCTACAAAAACTTAAAGCCTCTACATATTTTGAATACATGATAATTGTATGCATACATCATATAATAGTAAACACAAAAATAAAACTAACTTTTAGTGTTGTAACGTTTAATTTCCATGACAACGGTACTAACATACAGCTGATACAGTACTTTTATTTACAATATAATTTACATCAAATTCTTGTTCGATATTTTCATGCATAATTATCTTAATATAATATTATTTTGTTGTAGAAATCTTTGCTATGAATGTAAAATTGAGTTTTGTCAAAACCGCATTTTGTTTATAAATTAAGGTTCATTATAATTTTACAAATTTCCCATTAAGCGTGTTCATTTCCACAAAAGCTTAAGTAAAATCAAAGAATAACATTTACATAACAGTAAAGCTAAAATAAACAGGTCAAAATAAATACATATAAGGGACAAAATCGTTTGAATAGACTTCGGATCAGTCGTAGTGAATAACCATACTATTTATAATGTACTACTTATTGTAGTTAACCAAACAAAAAAATGATATATGCACTGACGTATTTGCTTGTAAGTTATTCTATAGATAGAAATGTCCTGAGGTGTGTGAAAATTCATTGGAGTACAGAACATTGACTCCTGTGTGGTTAAACTGATATTCAATAAATAATTTGTTTCAAATTGTAAAATAGAAGAATGAAACGAATTAAATAAGATAATTTTAGACATTCCCTTATAAAGACTCTAAAATCTTCTTGTTATAACGATATGTTCATGAATAAAATCTACATTACAATTAAAAAGTCAAAACATTAATTAAAACATGAATTAAATAAGACAACAACGTTTTAAAGTATTGTTTGATTTTATTAACCTGCAGCTGTCAACTTCATACTGATTATGCGATCAATGCACATAATACATAAATCTGCAATAGATTTTCAAGAAGTTCCATAGATGTACCCAGTAAAATGTAATCTAATTTAATTAACTTTAAGGTAAATGAGAAAATCTCGGCACCTTTACAAAATGCATATTAACAATCTGTCATGTAAACTTTCAATGTATTAGAATTAACACCATTTAACCTACTTTCATCCTCCTTAGAGTCAAACAAAAATAAGCTTGTAGATACTTATTTCTTATTTATAAATAAAGTTTAATGAATACCTTTTTAAATGTAAAATCGATATAAAAATTGAAACGCTTCCCTTTAAACGGTATT